CTCAGGCTCCTGGGCCCCGCCTTACTAGCTGACGCTTGCCTAATCAAATGACCCCCGATCTTCCAAATTTAAAACTACTGAATTATCTTCTATTACTTAATTGTATATTGTTACAAATGATTTCTAAAATGTTCTATCCTGTTTTATGCAAAATATGTTTCTTTGTCATTCTTATAAATTTGCCAGAGAATCGTGTATGTCGTTACCATGTCTCCTCGATTCTTCATTTCTTGCACAGTAGCGTAGATGTTTAGTGTCTTTACCCTTCTGTACGAACCACGTTGGATATCTGTGCTCAGATAGTCGTGCTTGTGGGGGTTGAGCTGTGGCTCTTTGGTCCCGCCTCTCAACCGTCAATCAACTGGTGTACAGATTCCTCAGCCTATTGGGCTCTATCATATCTACATTTGAAGATAGTGTGTGTGTGTGTGTGTGTGTGTGTGTGTGTGTGTGTGTGTGTGTGTGTGTGTGTGTGTGTGTGTGTGTGTGTGTGTGTGTGTGTGTGTGTGTATGCGTGAACATATGCGTGTGTGTGCGCGCGAGTGCGTTGGCGGGCAGGGAGAGGCAGCCATGACGTCACAGTCGCCACCACCCACCCACGCGCGCCAAAAACCCTCACCCCTCGTATCTTCCACCATACCGTCCATCTCTCCTATCCACCCACCTCCAGGCGTCTTCCCTATCCACCTGAAGACTAATTACCACCTCTAATTACCTAATTGCATGCCCACCTGACATGCCTGGAGGCCTGGTCGAGGACCGGGCCGCGGGGACACTAAAGCCCCGAAACCATCTCAAGATAACCTCAAGATAACCACAAGATAACCACTATTGCCATCCACAAGAGTGGAGGATGACGTCAAAAGCCCCAAGGCTCATCACTAGGGCTGAGATTAGCCCCAAGCCCCATTCAAGCCTCTGGGAAGCTTGAATGGTCTCCAAGCCATCAGAAAAACTCTTCCCCCATGAAGGGTTCGAACCTCAGCCAGGCAGGCGCTCCATACACTTTTTTTCTGGGAGCCGGTCGGCCAAGCGGACAGCACGCTGGACTTGTGATCCTGTGGTTCTGGGTTCGATCCCAGGCGCCAGCGAGAAACAATGGGCAGAGTTTCTTTCGCTTTGATGAACCTGTTACCTAGCAGTAAAATAGGTACCTGGGTGTTAGTCAGCTGTCACGGGCTGCTTCCTGGGGGGGAGGCCTGGTCGAGGACCGGGCCGCGGGGACACTAAAAGCCCCGAAATCATCTCAAGATAGCATATCTAGTACCACGCCCACTAGACCAAAACTGGCGACGATTCAAATGTAAATTCATTTAATGTCTGATATAAACCTGAAGACCTGAACAGCAAGATTAAGATATCATTTGGCGATAGTTCAGATAGCAGGAGAGTCCACGAGTTGAAGCGGACACGTGTGTGTGGGGACACGTTATGTCCAGGACACATGATTAGTCCAGGACACATGTCAAAGCGAGGACACGTGTCAATACAAGGGTTCCGAGAGCATCTTGTGAGGCAGATGATACATCCAGGTAACAATTATTGCAGGTAATTCAAGGAGGGAGTTCAACAGCTCGCGACGACCATTAACCTGAGTAACTGTCTTGACTCATCGATGAGTCCATTATCTCTCTGGCCACAGTAAGTGGTTACTGATGCCGAGGTTAACAACCTGGCTTAACTACCCAACAGCAAGAGTCAATTCTCTTGGACTTGGTGGCCCTGTTTGAAGTTGGTGGCCCTCAGAGGTCATTGGTGGCCCTCAGACGTCATTGGTGGCCCTCAGACGTCATTGGTGGCCCTCAGACGTCATTGGTGGCCCTCAGACGTCATTGGTGGCCCTCAGACGTCATTGGTGGCCCTCAGACGTCATTGGTGGCCCTCAGACGTCATTGGTGGCCCTCAGACGTCATTGATGGCCCTCAGACGTCATTGATGGCCCTCAGACGTCATTGGTGGCCTTCAGATGTTGTTTCTGGCCCTCAGGCCATCATCACAATTATCATCATCACCTTCATCATTATCACCATCAATGTCCTATTCCCCATCTTCACAGGGCAGCGGAACATACAGGAAAACATGGGGAAATTATCGAAGAAATATAGGGAAAATATGGGCAAAATATGGCCCTCCCCCCTTAAAAAAATCCACCAAATCTATTTGTCATGTTTTCCCTATGTTGATCCAACATAGTGTTCCACATACACCTTTACACCATGTGATGACCAGACCACATATCCCAGAAGATGAAGAGACAGCGACGTTTCGGTCCGTCTTGGACCGTTATGGGAATTGTGTCCTTTGATTTTTTTCAGGCGTAATGTAGACACACACACTCACACCTGTTGATTGACGGTTGAGAGGCGGGACCAAAGAGCCAGAGCTCAACCCCCGCAAGCACAACTTGGTGAGTACACACACACACACACACACACACACACACACACACACACACACACACACACACACACATACACACACACACACACACACACACACGCACACACACACACACGTGTGTGTGTAAATCACGAAAATTAACACGTGATGAAAAATGTGAGTGTCAGACCACGGAGGAAGAATTGAAACAGGAATTTCCTTAAGTACTTTCGTATTTAATAATACGATAATAATAATTTTGGGCCAATAGACCCTTTTGAAGATGTATCATTAAATACGAAAGTACTTCAGGAAATTCCTGTTTCAATTCTTCTTCCGTGGTCTCTCTCTCTCTCTCTCTCTCTCTCTCTCTCTCTCTCTCTCTCTCTCTCTCTCTCTCTCTCTCTCTCTCTCTCTCTCTCTCTCTCTCTTTTCGACAGTCGAAACGACAACGTTTCGGTCCTGTACGCCCTGTGGTTCTAGTGAACCACACAGCCTTATCCCCTCCAGTTTGAAGGTGCATTACAATTCCCGCGAGGTGACATTTATAAGAATACATCAACCATTCACTCCAGTTAAATCCAAAGTACAATCACCAAAAGACGCATTCTAATCCTTTATACAAATGAACAAATACAACAGGAGCCGTGATGGGGGATCGAACCTATGCACTGGGTGTTCCCAGGCGCGCTCTAGTCGACTACGCCACGATATGGTCAAAAGAATTGCAACCTGGAGTACATAGTGTACATAGTACACTATGTACACTAGAGTACATAGCACCCACTAGGGTCCCGAGGCTTCCACTGAAGCCTAACCGTAAGTTCGAACCGACTTCAAGGCTGCTGTTGGATTTGGTTATTGATATATCACATTAATGCGATTTCTCTGTGTTTTTCTACACTGTTATAAGATCTTGGAGACAGCCAATCTGGACAACTGAAAGAATATATTGAACAATTGAACAGATAAATGCTAGTCTGAGCAGCCAAAGGCCGCGCGTGTAAAAGTTGAAGATGCTCAACTTCTCTCAAGACTTCCACGTAACTTGAGGAAAAATGCGCTGACGTCTCCAGCTGCTGCCTTGCTAATGTCAGCTTTCCGGCTCAAGTGACCACCCGATTGATTGATTGATTGATGAAGATTGATCCACCACAAGAGGTGGCACGGGCATGAGTAGCCCCGTATAGATGGTATAGATATTTGGAGTGAATGTTATCTTAAGTCGTGGAACATCTTGATGTGTGTCTGCGCCTGGATTTTGCCCCATTATCCTGGCTTCTTCCAAGTGCTATATAGTCGTGATGGCTTAACGCTTTCCCCTGATAATTCCTTCCCCTCCTCGACCCGATATGATGACTCAAATGTAAACACAACGCCACGTGCGTATGACGACTCAAATGTAAACACAACGCCACGTGGGTATGACGACTCAAATGTAAACACAACGCCACGTGGGTATGACGACTCAAATGTAAACACAACGCCACGTGGGTATGACGACTCAAATGTAAACACAACGCCACGTGGGTATGACGACTCAAATGTAAACACAACGCCACGTGGGTATGGCGACTCAAATGTAAACACAACGCCACGTGGATATGACGACTCAAATGTAAACACAACGCCACGTGGATATGACGACTCAAATGTAAACACAACGCCACGTGGGTATGGGGACTCAAATGTAAACACAACGCCACGTGGGTATGACGACTCAAATTGGGAGATAAAATCCTTCAAGAGTCAGGTAAGAGAAAGATCTGGGGCCTGACGGCTGAGTGGACAACGCTCTGGATTCGTAGTCCTAAGGTTCCGGGTTCGATCCCCGGCGGAGGCGGAAACAAATGGGCAGAGTTTCTTTCACCCTGATGCATTTGTTCACCTAGCAGTAAATAGGTACCTGGGAGTTAGACAGCTGCTACGGGCTGCTTCCTGGGGGATGTGTAACAAAAAGAAGACCTGGTCGAGGACCGGGCCGCGGGGACGCTATGTCCCGAAATCATCTCAAGATAACTTCAAGATAACGAAGAATGATATCACACCAAAAAAGGATATCATCAGCGGCGTATGCTAGGTTCACCACTATAACAACTGCCTTTAAAAACCTGTGTAAGGAATCCTGCACAACCTTATATAACGCATGTCAGACCAAACCTGCCGTATGCAGCTCCAGCGTGGATTCCATATAAAAATAAACCCAAAGCAAAGTCAGAGAAAGATCAAAAGAGACACACCACCCTTATAGTCCCTGGAATAGAAGGGTATGAGCTACTAGGAAAGACCAGATGAATTTAACCTCACGTCACTAGAAGACAAGACCGAGTTAGAGGAGACATGATTACCATCCACAAAATCCTCACAGGAATTGACAGGGTAGAGAAAGGCATTGCACGAACAAGGGGACACAGGTATGGAGCCTGGGTGGGTGTGGGAAGGTGTGTGTGTGTGCGCGTACCGGTGAAAACGTTGAAAGGTAGGGAGGGAGGGATAGGGAAGGTAGGGAGGGAGGGATAGGGAGGGAGGTATAGGGAGGGATGGAGGGAGGGAGGAAGGGAGGACTCATGGGAGGGCCGGCGGGTGTCTGGGTCTCCAGCAGACTGCCTAGTCAGTGCCCGTTAGAGGGCGGCACGGTACACACGCACCGCGCCGCGTCCACCACACCACCGGCCCTCTCTAGTGCCAGTTAGTGCCAATTCATCCTCCGTTACTATCCCCGAACCCCCTGTTATACTAGTCACCTCCCAGTGCCAACCTCCCAGTACCCCGAGGTGTTAAACCCGCTCCGGAGAGGCCAATAACGTTACTTCCATCAGAGATAAACCACGATAGAAATTGGTGACATCACAGTTGAATGGATCAGAGAGGGTGAGCCAGATATCATATCGTCCCTAGTGCTGGGTAGGACGCCTATCCTCGCCTCCTACGGTCCTTCCTCTACACTGCAGGCTCCTATCCTCTGACGTCATTACACTCCCCCCCCCCCACACCCCCCTCTTTCACCACCATCCAGGACCCCCCCCCCCAGCTGCATGTATTCGTTCCATGTAAGATAACATACTCCTGTGAGATAACATACTCCTGTAAGATAACGTAGTCCTGTGAGATAACATACTCCTGTGAGATAACATACTCCTGTGAGATAACATACTCCTGTGAGATAACATACTCCTGTGAGATAACATACTCCTATGAGATAACGTAGTCCTGTGAGGTGATATCCTCCTGTAAGGTATAGTTTTTCCCCTTGAGTGTGGTGTGCTATCACTATGCTGTTCCACCTCCACCACATGCTTCACTATGTTGTTCCACCACCACCACATGCTTCACCATGCTGCTCTCCCTCCACCACATGCTTCACTATGCTGCTCTCCCTCCACCACATACTTCACCATGCTGCTCTCCCTCCACCACCACATGCTTCACTATGTTGTTCCACCTCCACCACATGCTTCACTATGTTGCTCTCCCTCCACCACATGCTTCACTATGTTGCTCTCCCTCCACCACCACATGCTTCACTATGTTGTTCCACCTCCACCACATGCTTCACTATGTTGCTCCACCTCCACCACATGCTTCACTATGTTGTTCCACCTCCACCACATGCTTCACCATGCTGCTCTCCCTCCACCACCACATGCTTCACTATGTTGCTCTCCCTCCACCACATACTTCACTATGCTGCTCCTCCACCACCACATGCTTCACTATGCTGCTCTCCCTCCACCACATGCTTCACTATGCTGCTCCTCCACCACCACATGCTTCACTATGCTGCTCCCCCCCCCCAATAATATCACTCACACTATCTAAAGGTCTCTAACCCTCTACACCCACCCTTCTACTCACCCCCCCCCTCCTCTTCCACCAGCCTACCTCCACCACCACAATCACCCCCCCGCCCCCCCTCCCCCCCCTTCATTACAAAGTGCCGTGGAATCGTTGTGTTGAAAAATATATAAATAAATAAGATTGAGTGTAGTTGAGAAAATATACAAATAATGATGGAATGTATGTGTGTGTGTGTGTGGTGTGTGTGTGTGTGTGTGTGTGTGTGTGTGTGGTGTGTGTGGTGTGTGTGTGTGTGTGTGTGTGTGTGTGTGTGTGTGTGTGTGTGTGGTGTGTGTGTGTGTGTGTGTGTGTGTGTGTGTGGGTGTGTGTGTGTGTGTGTGTGTGTGTGTGGTGTGTGTGTGTGTGTGTGTGTGTGTGTGTGTGTGTGTGTGTGTGTGTGTGTGGTGTGTGTGTGTGTGTGTGTGTGTGTGTGTGTGTGTGTGTGTGTGTGTGTGTGTGTAAACCCATCCCTCTGTTAAGATAGTACCTATTATGACATTCGTCAATAGTCACGAATTCGTACATACTTAGCTTTTACATAGTATTATACTGACTAGTAAGGAATTCTTTAAAAATAAAGCTGAAACACAAACTTAAATAATCCAAGGCCTAGTATAGTACACATATGTACTATATTAGGCCTCAGATATCATGTATTAGGCCTAGGAAGGTTAGGTTACTTTAGTTTGTCAAAGCAACACAAGAAAAAAAAAAATTCCAGTTTGTCCAACTCAATAGTTCAGATTTCTACTTTTCTAATTGTAAGAAAGTCGGTATATATACTATGTATATATACCGACTGTCAAATTAGTCAATAATTTGACTAATTGTAAGTCGGTATATATACTATGGTCCTCATCATTACTATAAGTACTACAATAACAGGAGGATGGGCTGTTGGACGCCCGGCGTTCTGATTGGCTCCCTTGTCTTATTCTTAAATGCTGCCCAAACACTTCTCTTCTTATTCTTAAAGGCTGTTGCTCCTAAGAATTTCAACCATTCAGCGCCAAGAAACTGTCGGTCTAAAGTCTCCTATTCTAAGCCCGTCCTCCTAAGGACCTATACAACGTACCAACTGTGCATTACTCTTGATACATGTGTACTGTATTTTTTTTTAAATTTTCATTTTTTTCAAATTTTCATTTTTTTCAATTTTTCAACTATTTTTTCAAATGTTCAACTTTCTTTTAAATTTTTCAACTTTCTTTTCAAATGTTCAACTTTCTTTTCAAAATTTCAATAGTTTCTTGAAATTTTCAACTTTTTTCAAATTTTCAACTTTTTTCAAATTTTCAACTTTTTTGAAATTTTCAACTTTTTTCAAATTTTCAACTTTTTTCGAATTTTCCACTTTCAAACTTGATCGACTATTCCCGTTTTCGCTGAATCCAAGTTGTATTAGTTCAGACAATGATAATAATAAGTACATTCTTGCAAGGTCACTAACATATAGGCTCGAAGGTATCTTGTATATCGTAATCATGTTCCCTGTAGCTGCATTCACTTTACAATTTGGCTCACGGCCGTAATATAAGATGCAGGTTTATTGGCGAGGCAACAGAGATGTTTCTTAGATGTTTCCCAAGTTTTAATACTTCTTTGTTGATCAATACTCTTTATATATGTCTTTGGTAATTAATAGCCTTGGTGTAATGTCCATTTCTGGCTCTATAAACCTCTATGGTGATCTACAGCGCCTATAGAGCCTACCTCTGGCTCTAAGGGTATCTGTGGTGACCTACATCGCGCAGTCATCATCTGGCTCTGTTTAGAGGCGTTAAGAGGGGGTGAGGATCATATCTTAAGGAGGACTCAAGAACTCCTTTCTCCTGTCTTATCCTCGATGACGTGACTTTGTTGTGGTTGTAAGCGAGCAGGTCTCTTTCTCAAGCACAGGTGTGTGTGTGTGTGTGTGTGTGTGTGTGTGTGTGTGTGTGTGTGTGTGTGTGTGTGTGTGTGTGTGTGTGTGTGTGTGCGTGTGTGTGTGTGTGTGTACTCACCTAGTTGTGCTTGCAGGGGGTTGAGCTCTGGCTCTTTGGTCCCGCCTCTCAACTGTCAATCAACAGGTGCACATGTTCCTGAGCCTACTGGGCTCTATCATATCTACACTTGAAGCTGTGTATGGAGTCAGCCTCCACCACATGTGTGTGAGCGCATGCGCAGGTGCATATTTGTATTTATCATATACTCACCTACATGCACTACCATATATGTGCTTGTATTGCGAGCATCAGCTCTTGGGTCCCAGCTCTCAGTCCCCGGCCGCCTGGTGCAATATACCATCCAATTTGTTTCATGTTGATCACATCTTGCGAATTATGAGTTAGACTCATCCGCCTCATCCTCCTGTTTATTCCTGCTGACAGCCCTCACGCTGAGCAGCCTCCTCACACCCTCATGACTCATGAGGATTATCCCTCTCCCCTCATTCACTGTGTACTCACCTAATTGTGCTTACGGGGGTTGAGCTCTGGCTCTTTGGTCCCGCCTCAAAACCTAATGTGTGTCATCTAATGGTTGCCCATAGAGGGGAATAGTGGTCCTGTCACGCCTGTTGAAGCCCCCCTCCCCAAACTTTAGGCTTAATCTATTAATTATTTAATCATTATATACTTTCCGTCTAGGTGAGCAGAGGCATGAGATGAAAGAAGACGTTGGCCAAACTCCTTTTTCACATCGCCTCGAGAATCGAACCCAAACTTGCACTAACTACTCAATTATTCCCCCCCCCCCTAATTTGAATGATAAAATATAGCCTTGACTTGACCCGATGCCCCCCCCCCACACACCCCACACACCCCCAGGGAGGTAAGATCTATAATGTCTCAGCCGTTCCTTAAAGCTCAGATCTTTAAGATCAGGGACCAGTCTTACCGCTAACTTCAGGGCATTTTGTCGAGTTTTGGAGCTATTTTTTTTATCTGCATATTTCCCTATGTGGTGATGATTGTCATTTCCTTATTTTCCCCTTATTTTCCCCTTATTTTCCACTGGGACTGATAACGATTAAAGAGATATCTTGTTTTTAGTTCCTGTAAGAAATACGGGAGTGTTTGGCCCCTCTGATGGATGTTATCGATGTTATCGTGTTCACCTGTGTCTCTAGCGTTAGATATATGTGTGTCATTATGTTATTTTGTTCACCTGTGTCTCCAGTGTATCATATATGTGTCACTATGTTATCGTGTTCACCTGTGTCTACAGCGTAACATATATGTGTCACTATGTTATCGTGTTCATCTGTGTCTCCAGCGTAACATATATGTGTCACTATGTTATCGTGTTCACCTGTGTCACCAGCGTAACATATATATGTGGCACATGTTATCGTGTTCACCTGTGTCTCCAGCGTTCACCAGCGTAACATATATATATCAATATGTTATCGTGTTCACCTGTGTCTCCAGCGTATCATATATGTGTCACTATGTTATCGTGTTCACATGTGTCAATTTTGGCCACCTGACTCCTACTCAAATCACTCAGAAGAATCACTCAGGAAAATATATAGACACATAACCCCATCCCTTTAAAAAATAAAAAAAAATTATTCACTCAAAAAAGCTTTTAAAATGTCTAAATGAAACTATAAACCCGAATTAGAAGTCTTGGTAGACGCGCTTTTTATAAATACGTTCGTATAAAAGAGGCTTCATACATTTAAGTCTCCGTGGTGTAGTGGTAAGACACTCGCCTGGCGTTCCGCGAGCGCTATGTCATGGGTTCGTATCCTGGCCGGGGAGGATTTACTGGGCGCAATTCCTTAACTGTAGCCTCTGTTTAACGCAACAGTAAAATGTGTACTTGGATGAAAAAACGATTCTTCGCGGCAGGGGATCGTATTCCAGGGACCATAGGATTAAGGACTTGCCCGAAATGCTACGCGTACTAGTGGCTGTACAAGAATGTAACAACTCTTGTATATATCTCAAAAAAAAAAAAAAAAAAAAAAAAAAAAAAAAAAAATATATATCTCAAATATTCTGTAGTTAAGAAATTATGACCCAAAAGAGAATATGTAGTTTTGGGTTATATTTGGACTATATATGTAGTTTTATGTATATATGTATATATATTTTATATATATATATATATGTATGGAGGGCCATATTAGATATCAAGGAGGGGTCAGGATATCAGATATTAGAAGGGTCATATCAGATATTACGAGGGGTCAGGATATCAGATACTAGAAGGGTCATATCAGATATTAGGAGGGGTCAGGATATCAGACACCAGGAGAGCCATATCAGATATTAAGGGGCTCAGGATATCAGATACTGCGGGCCAGGAGATCTGATGATAGCAGGGGCCACACAAGACCACACCCCAGGCAGGGTTATCGGGCTTCAATGTGTATGAGCCACAATGTCCAATTTTTAGGCCTGAATGCTTTTTTCAAGTCACGATGGTATGCCCGGGCATATGTACCCAAAACTACACATAATCTTTTGGGTCATGGCGCGAAGACCTGATCTCCTCCCCCTCCCCCCCCCCCACTCCCAGCATCAGATCCTCAGCCTCCTCCTGGGCTCTGATCGGCTGGGACAATCTAGTTCTCTAGGAAACTGATTAGCAAATGTGAGACTCTCTGAGTCTCTCGTGTTTCAAGTGCTTTAAGCTATGAAACTCTGGATGCGTCTAAGTTTTTTCACGTCGTATGTAGCTTACCTACGCTTATCTAAGCTTATCTACGTCGTCACGTAGATGCGTCGAAGCTTTAGAGTGGATTGAGTAGCCAAGAATGATGTCAATTCAGCGCTAATTAACGTTGATAACGCCGATTAGCGTTGATAAGCTGATTAGCATTGATATCGCCGATTAGCGTTGATTCGTCATTGAACTCACGTTAATCAATTCACAGTAATTACCCACAGTAATGGGTGGGTGACGTTACTGTGGCCCTCCCCCTTCCGTTACTGTGGCGCTCCTCTTGTTACTGTAGCCCCCCTTCCGTTACTGTGGCCTCCCTTCCGTTACTGTGGCCTCCCTTCCGTTACTGTGGCCTCCCTTCCGTTATTGTAGCACTCCTCCTGTTACTGTAGCACCCTCCTGTTACTGTGGCACCCTCCCGTTACTGTGGCACCCTCCCGTTACTGTGGCACCCTCCTGTTACTGTAGCCCCCCTTCCGTTACTGTAGCACCCTTCCGTTACTGTGGCACCCTCCTGTTACTGTGGCCCCCCTTCCGTTACTGTGGTACCCTTCCGTTACTGTAGCACCCTTCCGTTACTGTGGTACCCTTCCGTTACTGTAGCACCCTTCCGTTACTGTGGCACCCTCCTGTTACTGTGGCCCCCCTTCCGTTACTGTGGCACCCTCCCGTTACTGTGGCCCCCCTTCCGTTACTGTGGCACCCTCCCGTTACTGTGGCCCCCCCCTTCCGTTACTGTAGCACCCTTCCGTTACTGTGGCACCCTCCCGTTACTGTGGCACTCAAGGCCGAACTCTGAGCCTTGCTGACGTAAACACTACAATATTTAGAGAGGGCGAGTCAGCTCAGCCGTCAGTGAAGATGCCACAAGTGACGTCCTTGGACTTCAGTACCGTCGTAGCTGGCGGTGTGGTGGTCGTAGGAGGGCGCTCTCTGATGTAGCGAGTGTGTAGCTCCCTCAGCGAGGTGGTAACGATTCCTTGTCTCTTCCCACAGCTCCGTCAGCCTGGCCTGTCACTCCTGCAGGAGGCCTACAGTGAGGAAGATGAACAGAGAGCGGTGAGATCTCTCGGATACTTCACCGCTGTGGAGATTTAGAGGCGTTCTTCCCCCTCTCTCTCTCTCTCCAAACCCCCTCACTTGAGACCTCTCCAAGCCCACTCTTCTCCCCATCTCAAAGCCCACTTTTGGGCCCATCTCCAAGCCTATCGTTCCATCTCCCACATCCGTAATGGTCTAAGTCATTCCTTGTTTAGGAATTAAAGTTCTAGGCTTTTAATTGCTCTATACTGACATCACAGCAACTCAATCGCTGAAGAGAGCACAGAATATATTTCCAAGTATTCCGGCATCAAAGGCCAAGCAAAAGATTAGCTGTGATTCTTAAAGGCATTATCTGATTGCTCTCTTTCTTAGCCCCCAACACCACCACTCACTCCCCAACACACTCCTCCATCAACCACCACACACACACCACCATCACACTCACACTCCCCCACAACATCACTACACCAACATCCATACCTGGAACATACCTGGAGAGGTTTCTGGGAGTCCTTCTTCTACTCCCCGAGCCCGGCCAGAGGCCAGACCCAACTCCATACAACCTCACCAATCACATCACCACCTCCACACTACACCTTACATCACCACAACCACACCACCACCACCCCCACACCACCACAATGAGCGCCAATATGTTCAATTAGGGTCTAAAAGCAGCTAAAACCACCTGATTGAGCTTATCTAGATCTTTCCTTAACCTCTCTAGATCAGTCTTTCCATGGAGAAAATCCAATCCCCATTCCACCAATAAATTCTCTCTCTTCACCCCCCCTCCCCTTTCCCCCCCTGCCCCCTTCTCCTCTCCCCCCATCCAACCCCTTAGACCACACCCCATTAAAGAGGGGAGGGGGAAGCCTGGTCACAGACGCCATCTGCAGAAAATCATAAAATCCAAAACCCGACCAACACACAACACAGAAACAAAAACAAAGAAGCATCAGGCGCAGTGTTCAGTGTAGTGACGACATGTGATCAAGGGCGCGTTCAAGATGGGCTGTAAAGGTTCCAAGTCCAAGAAGAACGCCTACGCCAGAGTCGCCCAGTACCAGAAAGGTTAGTGTTATTCTCCTTATAGTTCTTATTAGCTCTGTTTCCCGCCATTCTGTGTTTCCCGCCATTTCGTGTTTCCCGCCATTCCGCGTTTCCCGCCATTCCGTGTTTCCCGCCATTCCGCGTTTCCCGCCATTCCGTGTTTCCCGCCATTCCGCGTTTCCCGCCATTCCGTGTTTCCCGCCATTCCATGTTTCCCGCCATTCCGCGTTTCCCGCCATTCCGTGTTTCCCGCCATTCCATGTTTCCCGCCATTCCGTGTTTCCCGCCATTCCGCGTTTCCCGCCATTCCGTGTTTCCCGCCATTCCATGTTTCCCGCCATTCCGTGTTTCCCGCCATTCCGTGTTTCCCGCCATTCCGTGTTTCCCGCCTTTTCATGGTTCCCGCCTTCAGCAACGTACACTCGTAGAATTAACTCAACATTAAGCTCACGAAAGTAATTATAGACACAGTTTAATAAATATCAGAGACAATAGAGACACAAAACAGGGTACAACAAGGAGAAAATGGCCTCCTTCACAAATGGACCCAACAGACAAAAATATAGAATGTTTTAAGGCATGTGACTGTTAAATTTACAGCATCCTGGCCAGTCATTCCAATGAAACAGAACAATAGTCTTGACTAACACGATACGATAACACACCAAATATTTTTATTACAGAGCCACGAGATGGTATATATATATATATATATATATATATATATATATATATATATATATATATATATATATATAATTGCAGAGGATGCTATAATAACCATTACAAGATTGATATCTTCATACACCTTGCAATATCCACCCGGTCAGTCAGAAATAACCGCATATACCAGTCAGAAATAACCGGATATACCAGTCAGAAATAACCGGATATACTAACAAACAACCGGTTATAGTAAGGAATAACCGGTCATAGCCAGAAATGTATTGTATTCAGTTAACTTCACCTGACTTACTACAGAATCTTTATTGACAAAATGTTATACATTTTGCCTAATATAGTCAATTCGTGAGGTCTTATAAAAGGAAGGATATTGGTACCATTAAAGCCCACACAGACGAAGGATTACACATAAGCCGGTTACAGATTATACAGCTTAAACTTATACAGCTTAACTTATACAGCTTAGTTCAAGTTCAAGTATGTTTATTGAGATAGGAAAGAAATACATCTCAAAGGGATAGAGTAGCTTAGGCTATTTCTACCCCCTATACAGCTTAACTTACAGCTTATACGAGTTAGTCTAACACACAGACAGTAATATGTATTACATACAGTACATAAATACAGTAAGTTACATACAGTACATAAATACAGTAAGTTACATACAGTACATAAATACAGTAAGTTACATACAGTACATAAATACAGTAAGTTACATACAGTACATAAATACAGTAAGTTACATACAGTACATAAATACAGTAATACATACAGTACATAAATACATTAATACATACAGTACAGTAGTATTTCCATCTCACCACATTTATTAGAAAGATGTAAGGTAATAGGAAGTTGTCCTAAGCTGGATAAAGTTAGATAATTATTAGAAAGTACAAAGGCATTACTATATATCACTTGGGTAAAAGGATAAGGCTTTAGGATAGGACGGAGGATGGGAATGGTGGCCAAGCACTTGGACGATCGGGGATTGAATGCCGACCTGCAAGAAGCGAGGCCGTCGCTCTACCGACCAGCCCAACGAAACAGGTTAATGCCGACAAATATAGAAGTTCCGAGCTTAAGTGATGGTAAGCAAATTACCAGATATTTGCTGAACAATGTTCAAAATGTCAAGTCTGAATATGAACAACTTTGGGGGTTTGGAGTAGTTGGGAGTTTGAGTCTAGGGTGACCCCCGGGACGTTGGTTCGAGTCCCATCCGGCCCTAAAGACTTCCTCAGCCAATTGATATCTTGGTTTGTCGTCCCTGCAACACAACCAAGAGAGATATCTACAACCAGCACGAGGTCATCCAACAGACACGAATGTCCAAATGAGCAAATCCACAAGGGCCGTGACGAGGATTCGAACCTGCGTCCGAGCGCATCCCAGACACTGCCTTAATCGACTGAGCTACGACAGGGTTAAAAGTAAGGTCCAGTAAGTCCAGTAGAACTTCGGTTTCAACTCTTTTAACCCAGTCGTAGCTCAGTCGATTAAGGCAGTGTCTGGGATGCTCCCGGCCGCAGGTTCGAATCCTCATCACGGCCCTTGTGGATTTGTTCATTTGATGCATCACGTTAGTGTGATTTCTGTGTGTAATAGACACGAATGTCACTCGAAGAGTCACAATTATGTGTTTCAATGGACGGGGGTATCTATTTACCGCTAGGTGAACAGAGGCATCAGGTGAAACCAAACCTTGCCGTGGGAAAATGTCCCCCTGGAACTGATCTGTCCTGAGCGAGCTGCGCCAACACACCTTGTCAACACATTTGTAAATAACATGTTTTTCTTATGTCTATCTTCACTTTTATTTCCGGAGTTGCTATTGCTAGTTGCTATTTGTGAGTTGAACTGCGTCACTGGTGGCGCCTGACGGCTGGGTGGACAGCGCTTCGGATTCCTAGTCCTGAGGTTCCGGGTTCGATCCCCGGTGGAGGCGGAGACAAATGGGCAAAATGTTTCTTTCACCCTGATGCCCTCTGTTACCTAGCAGTAAATAAGTACCTGGGTGTTAGACGGCAGCTACAAGCTGCTTCCTGGGGGTGGGGGCCTGGTCGAGGACCGGGCCGCGGGGTCACTAAGCCCTGAAATCATCTCAAGATAACCTCAAGATAACTAAAGTGGAACTACGACCTCATACTCTGCCCACACGTCGCTAAGACGCCTTCTGGCGACTGTTGGTTCACCAAACACTAAGAGAAAGTGTATATTTGTACAAATATAACGCGTTATACTCAGGATATACTCAAGGTTCAGATACTTGTGCCCTGAGAAGGAGAAGGCTTACCAGGCTTCGTGATCTGTATAAGAAGCAAGGAAACTGCACAAGGCCTTTTGGCTCATACGAGGCAGCTACTATGTATTAATATACACCCAAACGAAGGTTTTAGGTGTATTAATATACACCCAAACGAAGGTTTTTTTAAATGTCGCCAACTGACGACAGTAATGACGTCATAGATGCTTGCCTCGGAGGGCCATGACGTCACAATGACGTCATATATGCTTGACCCCCCAGAGGGCTATCAATCAAGACTATACAGCGGCTTACAGATATGCTAGGCTGTTATATTGGCGCTGGTATGCCCGGGGGTATATCGCAGGCTTCCAGCTGCTGTTTCTTCACGCCCGCAGAGACGGACGAACGGACTGCGGGACGGTACTTCCACTACAGAGGGATTGATTGATTGATTGATAAAGATTAAGCCACCCAAGAGGTGGCACGGGCATGAATAGCCCGTAAGTGGTACAATTTTTTTTTCCTCAGTATTCTGAGGTTGCATTTAACCATCAAGCTGTTATCGCGGGGGAGGATACTGCTTCACAGTCTTTATGAGGGTGTCCAGCTGCAAACAGAGGGAAGTGGAACCTCATACAAGTAGTTCGAACCTCCAACCACACCGCAATAACCACCTCTTCCCACCGCAATAACCTTCACCGGGGTCATCCTCGTTATTGACAACGGAACAATTCTGTCATACACGGAAATCAATGATACCCCAAAACAGGGACCATTTGAGAAGCCACAAGTCTGCAATACTGCCGCGTGTATTTTTGCCGGTGCTGTATTTGGTACATAATACAGGCCTCGCCAAGTGAAAAACTTGGCAAATGTCACAGCGGCATTGGGACATTCTGGCCGGGGCTCCAAAAAAGTGACTGGGTCTACTTTTATAGCGCCAGTCATTCAACTTAACTGTGTGTGATTAATTTGACATCAGAACTTTATGGCCTGGATTTTTTTATATCGTCGGGATGGGATTGGTGTGTGTGTGTGTGTGTGTGCCTGTATGTGTGTGTGTGTGTGTGTATGTGTGTGTGTGTGTATGTGTGTGTGTGTGTGTGTGTACTCACCTATATGTACTCACCTATATGTGCTTGCAGGATCGAGCATTGACTCTTGGATCCCGCCTTTCTAGCTATCGGTTGTTTACAGCAATGACTCCTGTCCCATTTCCCTATCATACCTAGTTTTAAAAGTATGAATAGTATTTGCTTCCACAACCTGTTCCCCAAGTGCATTCCATTTTTCTACTACTCTCACGCTAAAAGAAAACTTCCTAACATCTCTGTGACTCATCTGAGTTTCCAGTTTCCACCCATGTCCCCTCGTTCTGTTATTATTACGTGTGAACATTTCATCTATTTCCACTTTATCAATTCCCCTGAGTATTTTATATGTCCCTATCATATCTCCTCTCTCCCTTCTTTTCTCTAGTGTCGTTAGGTTCAGTTCCTTCAGCCGCTCTTCATATCCCATCCCTCGTAACTCTGGGACAAGCCTCGTCGCAAACCTCTGAACCTTCTCCAGTTTCTTTATGTGTTTCTTCAGGTGGGGGCTCCATGATGGCGCGGCATACTCTAAGACGGGTCTCACGTAGGCAGTGTAAAGCGCCCTAAAAGCTTCCTCATTTAGGTTTCTGAATGAAGTTCTAATTTTCGCCAGTGTAGAGTACGCTGCTGTCGTTATCCTATTTATATGTGCCTCAGGAGTTAGATTAGGTGTCACATCCACTCCCAGGTCTCTTTCTCGAATCGTTACAGGTAGGCTGTTCCCCTTCATTGTGTACTGTCCCTTTGGTCTCCTGTCACCTGATCCCATTTCCATAACTTTACATTTACTGGTGTTAAACTCCAGTAGCCATTTCCCTGACCATCTCTGCAGCCTGTTTAAGTCCTCTTGGAGGATCCTACAATCCTCGTCTGTCACAACTCTTCTCATTAATTTTGCGTCATCTGCAAACATTGACATGTATGATTCCACTCCTGTAAACATATCATTTACGTAAATTAGAAAGAGGATTGGTCCCAGCACCGATCCTTGAGGT